AGGAAGTGGGAGGGGAGCTGTTGCATGTTGGTAAACTGTGGTCAATGACATGAGACAAAGTATATGTGAACTGCTGTATGGAAAATGAATTTGCTCTGTAAATCTTCAGCCAAATCACAATAAATTTTTAAAAAAAAAAGTAAAAAAAAAAAAAAATTGAATCATCTATTACTAAATCACTTCTGTTAACTGAAAAAATATCCTGTAGTTTGAATTTCCTTTATGAAGTTGCTTAAATGTCACAGGACAAATAAGATGTTTTTTAAAAAGTAGAAAGTACACTTGTGAAATATTATGGATTCAAAAAGCTTAATTTTATTTTAATTTAACATTTTGTTTTCCAGTGTGGAAAAGAAAACATAATTCTACTTAATAGTGCATGAAAAGCAGGATACATAAAAACAACATATCCTTGACATACCCTGATCTCTGTTTCTTGCAGTTCTCCAGCTGTGACTAAGAAAGGGAAGCAGGAGAAAAGATACTCCCTGCCTTATCCTACAACCGAGATCCTATGGCAGTACCAAAAGGAAATAGCAGCCCTGACTGAAAAGTTTTGTTTTGTTTTCTCCCTATAAGGCAAAGAGGAAACTTTTCACTTGAAATTAAAACATTCAAGAGTAGTCTACTGTAAGCCTGAACAGATAAGCACATTTCTTAATCACAACTATTAATTATACAATAAGGAGCTTTGGTGGTACAGTGGTTAAAGACATTTGGCAGCTAACCAAAAAGTTGGTGGTTAGAACTCACCAGCTGTTCCACGGAAAAAAGATGAGGCAGGCAGCTTCGGTAAAGATTTACAGCCTTGGAAACCCAGCATGGGTTGCTGTGACTCAGAATCGACTCCATGGCAGTGAGTTTGGTTTGGTTTCCTAAAGTAAAACAGGAGCTCTGGCAGTGTAGTGCCTAAGGCACCTGACTGCTAACCAGTAGGCTGGCAGTTCAAACTCATCTGCCATTCCTCAGAAGGAAGGCTGGGCAATCTACTTCTGTAGTGATACTGCCTCGGAAACCCAAAGAAGGGTCGCTATGAGTCGGGTCCGACTCCACAGGCCATAAAAACATCAACAACAATGTTTTATTCTGATGAAGCAACAAGTCAGGAAAGAGCAAGTCACATGAGTTAAAATTTATAGATGTATTTTAAGTGGCTCTCTAAGGACCCTTTAGGCGCTCTAGTGGTGTAGTGCCTAAGGAATTTGACTGCTAACCAGAAAGCTGGCGGTTCAAACCTACCAGCCACTCCTCAGAAGGAAGACTGGACAATCTACTTCCGTGGTGATACCGCCTCGGAAACCCAAGAAGCAGTCACTATGAGTTGGATCCAACTTGATGGCAGTGAGTTTCGTTTTGGGTAAGAACCTTCTAGCCACAGAACTATCCTGTCTCTATCATCATTGGCCAAAAAGTAAATTTACTGCCTATCACATAACTAGAGTCACTGAGTTACATCAAACCCTAATTTGGTTTCATTAGTTTACTAAAGGCAAGACCCTAGAAAACAAAATATGGGACCCAAGAACCATATATATTTTTAGGTAGGTTACGTGAATACAAGTGTTCAAACACTTAAAGAAGAATACACACAATATGGTCTGAAACGTAACTGAATGCCAAGCAGGACTCATTAACTCAAAGGTTAATGTCTTATGAACTGTCTATCGAAATAACATTTTTCTGTTAATAGCTAGCTTGTCACATATTTCATTGAGTAAATTAAAGATCACATATGAAAAATAAAACAAGGAACCACTGAGCTACTCAGTATCTTGCCCAGGAACACATAGTAAAAGTTCATGAAAGAACGTCTCCCTGTTATGTCAATAAATAGATGGCACAACTTGGGAATGAGAGAAGTTAGTGTAATACATCTCCCAACACTTAAACCTGAGAAAATACACCTAATATTTCTTAAGTCTTCCTGTAATTACATCTTTCATTCACACATTACTATTTTACTACAACTTATTATAATAATGGCACATAATCTTATTCCTCTCAACAAAAGCTTTATCCAACTTCTTACTGAAACCCTTGAAGTATGTAACAATGACAAGTGAAAAACTCCAGTTATAATAAAAATTGTGGCATTCTAATTTTAAACCACAAAAAAACTGCTGAATTTAACTCAGAAAATAGACACTTTTTTTTTTTTTTTTTAAATTAGGATTTGGGTGAAGAT